CAAGATTTGAGTTTTGGTACTGGTGTTGTTTTAGATTGTGATTTAATAGAAGGATTGTTGTGGTGGTGATTAGGGTTCATCGTGCGGGGCCACGAGAAAAGATTTACTTCAGACCTGAGAAAGTGAAGGCAGCGATTGTTACTTGTGGTGGACTTTGTCCTGGTCTTAATGATGTTATTAGACATGTGAGTTTTTTTGGTATTTTCATGTAGAGTGAAGCCTCTTATTCATGTGAAAAAAGAAAGTGATTTGTTTTGTTGTTGCAGATTGTCATTACTTTAGAGATATATGGTGTGAAGAACGTCGTTGGGATTCCTTTCGGTTATCGTGGTTTCTCTGATAAGAACCTAGCTGAAATCCCGGTATTAGTTAGTCTTTTCTTTGTTTGCTCTCTAGCGATGAATACATTTGAAAGATTTCGTTATATTTTCGTTGTTTTTCGCCTTTGATTGTTAGCTCTCGAGGAAAGTTGTGCAAAATATTCACCTGTCCGGCGGAAGCTTGCTCGGTGTTTCGCGTGGAGGACCGACTGTTAGTGAGATTGTAGACAGCATGGAGGTGAATCATTTACATTCTCACTTCATGAACATCTTTTGAAACCTTTTTCGGGTTATATACGGATTTGTTGCAAATTCTGTAATATGACTATTAACTGTTTTTCGATATCAGGAGAGAGGAATCAACATGCTTTTCGTGCTTGGTGGTAACGGAACTCATGCTGGTGCCAATGCTATACACAATGAGGTTTGATACTTGTTAACACTCGAACGTCGAAACCTTTGAACAAAGTTTATATCTTTTGTTCTGTCTTTGATTTACTCTTTTGTAATCGTTTTTTAGTGTCGCAAAAGAAGGATCAAAGTAGCTGTTGTTGGTGTGCCTAAAACCATTGATAATGATATTTTGCATATGGATAAAACTTTTGGGTTTGACACTGCTGTTGAAGAAGCACAACGAGCAATAAACTCTGCATACATCGAGGTACTTTGAAAAAACCCGAGTTAATTTCATTAGTTCTCACATGAGGTACTTTTAAAGCCGATTGAAATATGTCTCCTTGGCTTTGTATGGTCCTTGTGATTGTGATCAGGCACATAGTGCTTATCATGGTATTGGCGTTGTGAAACTGATGGGTCGTAGCAGTGGATTCATCGCGATGCAAGCATCTTTAGCGAGTGGACAAGTCGATATTTGTCTGATTCCCGAGGTACGTTCTGTTTTTTTTTTTAATCTTGAGTTGTCAAAAAGAATACATTGAGAGATTGCTTATAACTAAAAATATTCACTTTTAAAAAGGTTCCTTTCAATCTCCATGGACCTCATGGTGTATTGAAACATTTGAAGTACCTTATCGAAACAAAAGGCTCTGCTGTAATCTGTGTTGCAGAAGGAGCCGGACAGGTAAAAAAAAACTCGAACTTTTGACATCGATTAAATCCTCTAAGGTGAGCGAGAACCGTAACATTCCCTCGTTTATTTCTTCCAATGCAGAGTTTCCTTGAGAATACTAATGCGAAAGATGCATCTGGTAACAAAGTACTCGGTGATATCGGTGTTCACATTCAACAAGAGGTTTGGTTCTCAATTTTGAATCTCTTCAATCACGAATGATGATTAACGAAAAAATTGATTGCTCGTAATCGTTTATACAGACGAAGAAATATTTTAAGGAGATTGGTATTTCAGCGGATGTGAAGTATATAGATCCAACATACATGATCCGCGCAGTCCGTGCAAATGCATCGGATGGAATCCTCTGCACGGTCTTAGGACAAAACGCGGTAAAGTCTTTACAACTTTTTTCCGCCTTTTCGATAACTAAAACTCTTTACACTACTTCAACTACATTTGA